TCCCAAACGGAAACTCTGTATTTATTAAACTCTAACTCCCCATCTCCCCAAACCCCCAGACCCTGCCAAACACCATTCTGTCTTTTGTCTCTCTGAATCTGACTCCTCTAGGTACCTCAAATAAGTAGAATCATACAATATTTGTCCTTTTGTGATTGGATTATTAAAATAATATTGTGATGTTTTTGCAATTACAGAAACCTAGTGAGGCGATTACATTGTAAGATGTATAAGCGTAGAATCATTATATGGTTTACCTGAAACTAATATAATACTGTGTATCAAACTATACTTAAATAAAAAATAAAAGTTAATAAAAAAGAGAAATTGTATCTTCAAAGGTGGCATAGAGGTGTTCCAAAGACACTTCAACCATAACAAATGATACATTCATCTTTCACATTCCATTTAGGTTTTTATAGTTTTGGGATTTGGGTTTATTTTGTTTTAAATGCCATGTTCATGAGGGTTTATTTTTTCTCTTTCATACTCTAAAGTTCTCATTTCTTTACTAAAGAAAAAAAAAGATCACTATTTTATTAGTAAAATGAATAACCAACAAATCAACAAGAACAATGGCAGCCACCAAATTAGATGACAATCCATGCTTTCACTGTGGTTTCCAACGCTAAGGAAGCAAAGGTCTTCCGATTTTTTTTTTTTTTTGGTTTTCTTTTTACTTTTGAACTTACCAAACAATGTAGTAAAGAGTATGACAAAGGGGGAACTAAGAAGCATTTGGTTTTCAGAACCTATCCAACTCAATTACAACGAATTCCACCACCTGCTACTGTGACGGAATGTGCTTTTACTCAAAGACATCGGGTTTATGAGCTTTGAAAAAATCCCGAGGGCTCTCATAGAGCCAACACCAAAATGTGTGAATGAAATGTTCTTTATGTACTTATTCTTTTCGCTATTTACAATACTAGTGTCAACAAACACGTGTCAATTCCTGAAATACTCATTCCTTGAATACGTAATATGTACTCAGTACTGCATTAAATTATAAAATATATGAACGAGCTCTAGACAATATGATTTCTATGAGAAGAAATCCAGGTCCACAGCCATAGAAAAATTCACCTGATGTATGTGCCAGGCACATTTACAAACATGGTTCTCAAAACATGTAATTTTGAGAAATACTTTTAAAATCATAGCTATAGATGAGCTCATTTGACAGTTGAGAAAAGCAATGTTTAGAGATGTTTTGTCATTTGTCCAAGAAAACTTAGATTATTATTCGGAAATTTTCTCGGTATAGACTTTAATTGGAAAACCCTTGAATAACTAGGTGGGGTTTAAAAAAATCCATATTTTTTGAAGTCCTATATTTGAAAGGATATTATGTTTTTGCAAGTTTACATAAATTGTAATAAACGGAACATTCCCATATTATATTTGTCTATTTTACAGTATTATATTTTGCATATTATTTAAAACATGTAGTACAATATATAATTTCCAATATATTTATGAAATCATGGATCAGTAAAAAAAATAGATAACTTCAAACCAGTGAAAAGAATAATTCTGCATTGACAATAAATATTCTTAGGTACAAATGCTTACTTTTCAAGAATGACTCTGAGAAACGTATATGTGAACGTCTTTGGTAGCCCTGGTGTTCAAAGGCCTAGAAGACATATACCTAGTCATGTCTGTTCTTTCCATAGATGCAGCATCAAAGGATCCCAGAGAGAAAGAAAAGGCATCTACAATCTAAGTTCCGCTCTGAACCATCCTGCTTCCTCCATACCTTGCTAATAGGTTCGCCTCCCTGTATTCTGAGTAATTTATAATCTAGATGAAGGACTCAAACTAATCACAACAGTATGAGAGGTAAGGTAGCATAGGATCTTTGCTTCCAGATGGTACTCAAAGGAGGTGGTGTTGTAAACTTTTCAAATAGGATAGGAAGAGTCTACCGAGGGCTTCTTGAGAAGGTGAATTTTGGAAGAAATACTTGACATAGCCCAGTAGAGGTATGAAAAGAGAATTTTATGTATATTAATAATATAGTCTGATGTTAAAAATAAGGTATTGAAAGATAGAAGAGGAATATCTGGACATAAAGATTTCTGTTAATCTGTAAGACATGGATTAGTTAAAAGTAATATTCAGATTATGGGCAAAAGCAATGTATTTCTACCATATTATTTTTAAAAAAAATGTTTTTATTAATTTTTAGGGAGAGAGGAAGGGAGAGAGAGAGATAGAAACATCAATGATGAGAGAGAATCACTGATCAGCTGCCTACTGCACACCACGCACTGGGGATTGAGCCCACAACTCGGGTATGTGCCCTGACCAGGAATCGAACCATGACCTCCTGGTTCATAGATCCACGCTCAACCACTGAAACATGCTGGCTGGGCTATACCATATTATTTAAGATATACTAAACTTCATAAAAATTATTTAAATTTCTTCCAATAAAAATAATTACTGCCAAAGAGTTAGACAGGTAGGCTATAGTATTAAATGCAGTCAATTATAAATGTGTTTAAAACAGCAAGGCTACATATTTTATTAAATGTTTATGATAGTTTTGCTTTTGCCTAATATATACTAGTGTGTTAAAACTGATCACAAATACTGAGTAAATACAGGGGTGGGGCAAAGTAGGCTTACAGTTGTTCATATGGAAAGTAATATAAAAATTAATAAATAATAATACAAGAATACACTCTGCGTTTCATGTACTCACCACTGAAAACCTACATTTGCCTCACCCTGTACATAATTACGTAACACTTGTGAGGCAAACTATGCAGCCGTATAACTCCCAAAACATATTATAAGTACATTTTTTCATTTATTACAAAGACTTCACGAAGTTAACATCTAACAACAACAACAATAATAAAACCCTCTAAAATATTTAATATGCTAAATTAGAAATAATAGGCGTGAGTGGGATACAGACCGAACAAAATCCTTTCATTTACATGCTAAGGGAGAGTAAGAGTCTAGTAGAGTATGGGTTAATATAGCATGGTTAATTTTGATGCTTTTTGTTTTCATCTCTAAGGAGACAAGTGCATACACTTTCCCATCCCCCTAAACACTAACTTGCATATAATATGCCACATGTTCAACAGCCTGTGAAAAATTGAATTCATACCGCTTCTTTAGAAACAACATTAATAAATCCAGTTTTCATAATATTTGGCTTTGATTGCATAGTCTTAGTCTGGAGGGAAAGTTGCAAATGATTTAGAAGCAAGTGTCTAGGAAAAGTCCAAATCCAATTTGTGTTCTCTAATTACAGGCTCAATGCTCTCCGTGATTTTGTTGGAAAAAGCCACCTCACACACCCTTTTCATTCTTTCCTAAAGAAAGGTCAAGACAAACTCAGCTTCTGCCTATTAAAAAAGGAAAGGTAAAATTCTCTCCTAATTCATTGCTAGTTTCATCTGATATTATTTTACAAAGACAAAGAACTACTTTGCTATCCCCCCCCCCTTCACTGACAATATATCAGATTTGGAGAAATTTAAATTAATAACAATCTATCACTCATAATCCTACCACCTCAATACAAACATTTCTGTTTTGCTTAATATTGCCAGTATTTTATAGGACAGACCACACAAGGTATTTTTGAGCATCATCCATGTATTAACTCAATTACTCATTAGTATTATTCATCTATATTATTATTCATCTATATCAATATTAATCATACATGTTTTCATATTAAATGATTTCCCTAGGTGGCTCCCTCCTTCCTTCCCTCCATCCCTCCCTCCCTCTCTCTCTCCCTTTCCCTTCTTTCTCCTTCCTTCCTTCCTTCCTTCCTTCCTTCCTTCCTTCCTTCCTTCCAGATATGTAGGTCTGATCAATTATATCCTGAAATTCTTTCTCCTAAACATCAACCTTTCTCAAGCCTATCATTGTACTTTGCCTTTATAAACTTAATTTGCCCCAAAGGAGTCTCCATATTCTCTATCCACTATATTTCGCAGATACCCCTCTTGTAGATACCTGTTACACTCTCACATATATTAGGCAGATAGACCAATCCTAATCATTTGATTAGTATTAGTTTCTTGGTTTTCTTGATGGTTGCTTTTTCAACTAGAAATTGAGCTATTAGGTGACAGAAACCATGTCTTATTTTTTGACTACCTAGTGCTTTTTTTTAAAAGTTTATAAGAGACATGTGATCTGCAGTGTATGAGTATTCATTCCTAAGACTTTTGCACATTATACTTATATGTGAAATAGGGACAGTGTTTAGAATGATCTTGGCTCTACCCTACTTATTAATCTCAGTATCATAAAAGTGACTGGTTTAGAGGAACAACAAATAGCATGTTACAGGAAGCATTCCAATTTTCCAGTAAGAACTGAGTCATGAAAGAGAGACCATGTAGATTTCATAAATAATATAATGCAACCTTTAAGAGTATTGGATTCCAAGTCATGAAGAAACATGAGCCATAGACATAGTCAAATAACTTCAACAATATTTCCCCCCTCCAAAAATAGAAAAAGCCTTAATAAGATACCAAATCTGAGATCCTATGAGGTGCTTACAGCTAAACCTTAGACACAGTGGGCCCATCAGTAAATCCATTCCTAGTCAACCAATGTTGCTAAAGCTTTAAAGAACAGATAAATTAAAACGTGTTTTGCATGGGTAAGTTTTCCCCAGAGTTCCTCATTTTTATATAGGAAATCAATTTGCATCACTGATGATATCATTCATACCAGACAACCCAAAGTTGTTAAGAGGTAATTTAGTTTTATGCTGAAAGCAATTTGGTACTTGTTCTAATTTGTGAGTTTCATTTTGTTTGCTAATGAAAAAAATTAATGAGCAATGGTACTAGAAATACAACTCAGCAAAGCCTCTGCAATATCAGAGAGGTTTGCCATATACTGTACAGCATGACCCTGTGCAGCAGGCGCCTGGGCCTCCACCTGGGCGGGGCTCTCAATGTATCAGCACAGTCCAGAGCTAAAGGTACAGATGCCCTCACACATACCTTTGCACTGATTTGTGTTTTTGTCAAGAATTGCCTTTGTCGATACAATTTTTCCATACCTGAAAGAGAGAGAGAGAGAGAAACAAAAAGTTACCGTAGCCCAATGAAGACACTTAAAAACACCAATGAGCATGGGTGTACACACAATGGAGCAGGGATAAACCAAGAACAAAGCTCTGAACTCCCATTTCACACCTGGATGATCGCTTTTCACCAGTTCTTCTCTATACCTGGAGAATGCGCTTCCCAAAATAATCACTGGGTGGAGCCTTCAAAAATAAACCTGTCAGGGTGTCATAGGCGGCTGAGAGGGGATCGCCTGTGATTGTAATCAAAGTAAATCGCAACCTGGCGATGCGTGGAAAAGTACAGACCTAGTCCCAGGCTGACCAGGGCTGGCATCCAGCTTTGGTGCTCACCTAGTGTTGCAACCCTGAGCAGTTAAACACAACTTCCCCAGGCCAGTCTTTTTATCTCTAAAAAATGAAAATTGTAATGATCACCTTTCAGGATTTGGGAGAGTGTTCAATTGAAAAGTTGAGATTGTCTATCAGTGCTTGTAGGGTAAATAAGAACAAATGTATTTATTAGTTGGTTATTTTACTACCAAAAATATATTATGTTGTAAGTTAATTAAGGATAAAGACTGAGCTTCGTATTCTCAATGACTGCCACCAAAGCCAATAGAAGTCAAATAAATGCTTGTTATAAGTAAATAAATTATCCAATGGTACTTCATCTACAACAAAGTGTCTACCACATATTCATTATTTAATCATCCCTTGCAGACGAGCTGCTCTAGGCTTTGTTTCAAAAATATGGGTTACATGAAGAATAAAATTCAATCTCTTTGAGCTGCCCCATGGGGTATAACTGATGGGACTAAATTAGGTGACTTCCTAAAACTCTGTTCTTTAGGATTCCACGAAGGGTGATTCTGACTCAACATAATAACACAGAGAAGCTATCATGTGAATTTGGTGCAGTGCTTAATTATGACATCATGCTGCCTCTAAAATAGAGAAGATACATAGATCAAATCTTCTAGTTCAATCAACTTTCATTTCTTTGGGAAACCAAGGCAATATAGTGTTGAGTTAAAATAACATACTGTGACAACAATCATGGCTTGAATCTCAATTAAGCCCCAGTGTATTTGGTTGGTTAAACCTTATGTGTTCTTTGCATCATTCCATCATCTATGATAATATGAATCAATTTTTAAATATCGGTTTTGATTATTTATTTAAATGTATATGCATCTGTTTAAATCTATAACATGATGACACTGGTCGTTACCTCACAGGGTTACTGTGAGCATTAAATGGGGTTACCAAAAGTGCTGATGACAGTGGCTGGCATAGAATAAGTGCTCACTAAGTATTGGTTTTTCTTGCAATGACTCTCTTCCTGTTAGCTGCTATATAACAATGTCCAGTCTTTGACATTCTCTAAGATGGGTAAGAGGTGAATGGGGGTAAAACTACTGTCCCAAATGGCAGTTTAAAACATCACTACTTGTTTAATTCCTTTATCCATTTTGAGTTTATTTTTGTGTATTGTATAAGTTGGTGGTCTAGTTTCTTTTCTTTTCTTTTTTTTCATTTATCTGTCTAATTTCCCCAACACCATTTCTAGAAGAGACAGCCTTGACTCCATTGTATGTTCTTGCCTCCATGAGCATAGTGGTTTGGGTTTCTGGATTCTCTATTCTATTCCATTGATCTATATGTCTGTTCTTGTGCCAGTACCAGGCAGTTTTGAGAACAGTGGCTTTGTAAGACAGCTTGATATCTGGTATTGAGATCCCTCCTACTTTGTTCTTCTTTCTCAGGATTGCTGCAGCTATTTGGGTCTCTTTTTTATTCCAGATGAATTTTTGGAGAGTTTGTTCTAGGTCTGTGAAATATGCCGGGAAACCATAAAAATATT